GGAGCAAATATTAATATTTCAAGTATTCATATAAACAGAAACACAAACAGAGCTGGAGCCGTAGATGTTTGGAAAACTCTTTTTATTTATTCCACTGACTTCAGCAGAAAATCTTCCTACAGTTTTTCTTCACTGACAAAGTTAAAGTTCACCGATCAGGATCAAACATGTTATTGATCCTTTAACTCAGTAATGTCCGTTTACAATAACCCCTCAGGGCAGTTAAACTGGACTAAACTGCTGTAGTTCAGAACATGTTGAAGTTCGTCTCTTTAAAACTGAATTTTGATGATAAAACGTATTAAAGTGAGTTCAGTGTTAGATCTGACATTTGGATCATAATTCTGTCTGTAAGAGGACCGAGGACGGACCCCTGTGGTACTCCTCAGGGAAACTAACTATATATCCTCTGTACCACTGAAGAACACCCTGAAGAGTCCTCTGGGAACCTTTAGAGATCCACCAGGAGCATCAAAAATCACCTGCTCAGCTCACACACACACACACACACACACACACACACACACACACACACACACACACACACACACACACACACACAGTAATCACAGGCACAGTGAGCTGTAGTCAATAAATGTCAGTGTGTGAATGCTAATGACGCTAAAGGCTTCAGAGAGACACACAGAGCTCTGAGTGTGTGTGTGTGTGTGTGTGTGTGTGTGTGTGTGTGTGTGTGTGTGTGTGTTATCATTTATTATGTTTATGTGTGTGACCTTCTAGTGCTGATGGTCCCTAAAATGTGTGTGTGTCTGAGGTTATAGATGATCTCTGTGCGCATCATTATTCCCAATAATAGGTTTCAGCACCTCCTCTGTGTGTGTGTGTGTGTGTGTGTGTGTGTGTGTGTGTGTGTGTGTGTGTGTGTGTGTCTGTGTGTGTGTTTTGGAGCAGACAGACCAAAGATCATTCGTTTTACTCTGAAATGATGTTTTTATGAAGTATAAATATATTCCAAAGAGCCGCTCAGAATGAGGATCCAGGAGACGTCGCCTCAGATTTATTCACAACTTCAGTTTCTTAAAACTTAAACTTGTTGTTTCTTGATTTTATTCTGTTAGTATACATACATTAGTATATATATATATATGTTGATATATGTAATCATAATATAAAACAAAATACAAAATTCACACACACAAAATTCAATACAAAAAATACAAACAAAAAATCTCAAACATGAATAAAAATGAGCAGAAAGAGGAAAACTCTTCTAGAGTCTGAACCTCCAAAACTGAAACTCTTCTGCAGGTTTAAATCCATCAAAAGCCAAATGTGTCCGTTTGTATTTCCCTGTTTTTATTTTCCTCTTTTAATTTCCCGTTTTTATTTTCCCTGTTTTTATTTTCCTGTTTTTTGTTTTCCTTTTTTAATTTCCTGTTTTTATTTTCCTGTTTTTATTTTTCCTGTTTTTATTTTTCCAGTTTTTATTTTCCTGTTTTTTATTTTCCTTTTTTATATTCCTGTTTTTTTATTTTCCTTTTTTAATTTTCATGTTTTTATTTTTCCTGTTTATATTTTCCTGTTTTTAGCGTCAGTCAGATTCAAACCTGCCGATTGTTTTGACGGTTGACGGTCTTTTGTCTCCTCCCCTTTCTTTCAGGTGTAAGGCTGTGATTGACAGCAGAGGACAGCGAATCACCTGCAGCCACTTTGTGATGGAGGACAGTTATGTTGGAGTGGACCGCAAGAAGGTGGACACACCCACCAGGTCAGTACGCACCAATCAACAGCAGCCACCTTAAATCCTCAAGGAACCATCGAACAGTTCCAACAGTTCCAACAGTTTCCTTTAACCACCTCAAGACTGAAGGGACCGGGGAGGGTCTCAGTTTCTCTGTGAATATCAGAGTCTCAGTTTCTTTGTAAATATCAGTCTCATTTTGACTTGAAATACCTGATATTGACCTTTAACCTGATATTGACCCGTCTCTGTCTGTGTCCTCAGGTTCCTGTCCAGAGCTGTATTGATCACTGACAGCTCCGTCCTTCCCTCGGACTCGGACCAACAGGTAAATATCTGACCTCTATAGTTCTGTTAGCGTCTCACTCTGTTACAGACGTTGATCCTCACCTGAACGTCAGACGGTTTGATAAGTGTTTTAGAGTGAGACTGGGGTCAGAGGTCACAGTGTCCTCAGTCCAGAGGAATTATGGGAATGATTTTCACGAAAAAGGAAAAAGAGTCAAAGTCAGAAAGAGAGAAAATCCTGGATTCATCCGTCTGAACACACTCAGTCCTGACTAATTAGAGAGGAGTTAAATATTGAAATATTGAATGAGGTTTGGTCAGACAGTCTTCAGCTCTGTGTGTGTGTGTGTGTGTGTGTTAATGAGTGTGTGTTGGCCTGCAGTGCTCAGTAATAAGATGAAGTTAATCTGGTATTAAACACTCTGAGGAGGTTTTCTATTAAAGAGTCTGTCTGTTTGAACTCACCTCAAACTTTTACCTGTCTGTCTGTCTGTCTGTCTGTCTGTCTGT